TGTGTGTGTGTGTGTGTGTGTGTGTGTGTGTGTGCGTGTCAGTGCATTCATACATGTAAGTGTGTGCGTGAAAACGCATGCTGTTAATTGTCTATGAGAAGACACCACAGCGCCCCTTTTTGTCCAAAAAGAAAAACGATAACTCACCCCCTTCCAAAAATACCTAATCCTTAGCAAAAAGAAAGTAAAGTGTGACAAAACGGAAGAATAATTAAGAAAAGTATAAATGAAAGCATAAAGGCACAAAGTAAAACAACAACCACGAAACAAAGTAAAATGCAGCAGGTGAGAAAAGCGTAAACCACTGGGCGTCCTACCAAACCTTGGACTCAACCAAACAGGACAGAACTTCCCTAGTTTATGCTTTAAAAGATCTCGGGCCGTTATGTCTTTCCTTGGATTGATCCATGGAAGTTACATAATGAGGAGGACATAAAAAAGCAAAATGGAAAAAGAAAAACGAAACTCAATGCTATCTTAATTACCATTGATAGTGAGTTTCATCGCACAGTTACAACACTTTGCTGACGTGTATCGGCTTCCTGTCCTTGCAATCAAACTGAGACAAAAAGCGCTCTAACAAAAGCTATGTTGTATTCTTTTCAACAAGCACCTTTCCAAGCAACAGCAACAATAACGGCAACGACGATGACAACAACAACAACAACAACAACAACAACAAGAACAACAACATCAACAACAAGATCCAACCAACAACTCATTTATTTTTTTCTAATTTATACGAATGTTCAAACCTTAATACCCAGTGCCCATTGGGAGATTGGTTCTCTAACACAAAACGATCGCCCGACTCGCGGCCTTGAAAAAAAAACCGTGTTTGGTTGGGTTTTTTCATGGTCATCATCGTCTTCACTCGGTTTGTGCCATGATTGTTTTCTTTTCACCCTCAGTCTGGCTAACCCCGCCAACCAAATCAAACTAAACCAAATCGATCGTGCCTATGGGCACTGGATATCATTGACCCCACGGACGTTTTCGCTCGCTAGCTTGGGCAAACAGAAAGGCCAGACATGACGTTAGGATGGTAGCTGGTGTACACCTCCACCAGCAACTCGTACAGCCTGTTGTCTTTCAGCTTAAGGTGACCCCTAGCGGCAGACTCGGTCCTGCAGTCAGACGTGCCGCAAAGATTCATCCCCCCTGTGTTACCCTGACTGTCCTTGTTCGCCCCAAAGAAGACAGACACAGCCGTTGCGATGTATTCACCATCCGTGCTCATTCTGAAATGTTTTGGGTAAGAGTTTTATGGTATATGCAACACAATTAGGTCATATGTATGCCGGAGGTTAGGGGTGTTACAAGAGAGTAACAGAGTAACAAACACAAAGAAGGACAGATCAGAAAGATAGATGAGTAATAGGAAAGGAGCAAGCCACACTAAAGCATCCGCCAAACGCCCGCTCATTTTGAAAGATCAGGTTCTCTGTCTTGTCATAGTGTTAACTATGAGTATTCTGAAAATATAATCTTTTCCACAATGCAGGAGTTTTACGCCCCCGCCGACACGATTGTTTTAGGTAGGAGGCAGGCTTCTGACCCTGCTTGTCAGGGCCAACTCGAGCTGAGAAGGATATAACATCCCAGCAGAAGGACCTAGATACTTGATAAAAATTCTCTTCTCTCAAGACGCAAACTCGTGCGTGCCTTACCACTATACCAAAGACGCTAATTGAAAAAAAGAAACCATTTAAGAATGAGCTATTTCGGAGATAAAATATTTTGGCCTAACAAGTTGGCTTCAGAAATTTTGCAGGACCACAACAGAAAAATTAGGACTCCATCCTGATATTTAAAAAAAAACCTGCAGTCTAACCCATACATCAAACTTTATAAACGAATTGATGTAACTGATATGGTTGGGAAAATAAATCCATGTTGTAAGAAAGAGACTGAAGCACACTAGTGAGTGACTTACAAATGATTTTAGAGAAATGCAGTCCGTTTTTAGTTTTCAATGTGTAGATTAAGCCTCATAAGTGTCGAAGATTAGAAGTGTTACAAGAGAGTAACAAACAGAAAAAAGAAGGAGAAGAGGTAAAGACCACAGTCGTTTGATAGAAAAGAAGGAGCAACCCAACCTCGGATCCAGTCTGTAGTCATGCCTCAGCTGCACGAAACTAAATTAGAGGGGGGGGGGGGAGAAAAAAATTTTTTTTTAAGTTATGAGAAGCATTTAAGCACTAAAACCGTGTCTTATCTTCTCTTTGAAAACTTCTGCAGCAAAACCGGAAACAGATTTATAAAAATGTTGAGAGTTTTAAATCATGTACAGAGCCAAAACATTCATCGTGCTACTTTCTCACGTTTCTGCTTCCTAGTCTGTGTCGCTTATCTGTGATCGTACAATCTGAGATAAGCTCGTGTCCTGTTCTCTTATCGGTGTGCACTAACTATCGTCTGTCTTCGAAATAGCTTATTCTTAGATGGGGTTCTAAGCGGTTAGGCGCTTCGTTACTTTACTACTTTTCCATCCTCTGTTGCCGTTAAGCTTAGCTTCGTGAGGAGATGCAGTTTTCTCTGGTAGGCCACCTCTGCAGTTCTTTCAACTGGGATTTTGTAATCATTTGTTGAAATAGAGGTGTTTCGCTCATCCTCAATACCACCACCTCCACTACCCCGCCCCTTCCCTCCCAATCTCCACGATATCCATACGTTATGTTTGTCGCTCCTGTTGTCGTTGTCTTCGTCCAGTTGGCAAAATCGTTGCTGTCTTTATTTTGTTATTGTTGTTCAGAGTGGCACTTGTCATTCTTTGTTTTTTGTAACTGACGGTGACGTGGGTGTATAAAATATAATATCTAAATAGACAAATACGCAGATATGACAAAAGACAGAAAGTCAACAGTCTGAAACGGCAGGAACAATGATTTGTGATAAGAATTGCTCCTCATAAAACCATCCACTCCAAAATGGCGTCCGTGGTCTAGTGGTGAATCTACCAGACAGATTGTATGTACGTGGATTCAAGGCTCAGCTCGGCCGGACGTTGTGTCCTTGAGAAAGACACTGAACAAAACACGACTGTTCCCATTCAGCTCGATCCGTTCGGAGATGAAAAGCAAATTGGAGGCCCCTTCTCTTGAATAACCTTTATGTTTCAAGGGGAGTTGAAACTATACATATTCTTATTTTTCACCAATTCAAAAAGTGGTTGTTATGAACATGGATTGTTACTTACGCGTAGGAATGCAGATTCCAAATACTGTGGCTTTTGGCATAGTTATAAGCTTGGGTTACTTTGGACCTGTATCAAGAAAAAAAATTAGCTGTATTCTACAACTTTAGACAACTTTCGTAACGTGCGTATGTACATATTACATGAGTAATCGGTTATTTTACTTTCATTAATGCTATATAGGCAATATTTGAGCTGTTCATAATCAAAAGAAATTTTACAAACGCGTGAATAAGAAAAATGCTCGTTTCGAATTCCTCTCGATTGAAAAAGTGGACATTTACTTCTATCTATCTATTTATCTATTTATCTATCTATCTATTTATCTATCTATCTATCTATCTATCTATCTATCTATCTATCTATCTATCTATCTGTCTATCTATCTATCTATCTATCTATCTATCTTTCTATCTATCTATCTATCTATCTATCTATTTATCTATCTATCTGCTTGTCTATTAAGCTGTCTATCTATCTATATGTCTGTTTAGCTAGCTATCTATCTATCTATCTGTCTGTTTAGCTACCTATCTATCTACTAGCATCTAACTACCGCTATCTATCTATGTCTATTTTGTTTGTCCGTCTGCATTACAATTTAAGAGTTAATAGTAGACTCATGTTCATTAGTTGCGTTGAACACATACACATATAAACACACACATACACACACACACACACACACACACACACACACACACACACATACACACACACGCGCGCGCGCGCCAACAATAACAACAACAATGATATAACACACCCAAACACACACACGCACACACAAGTGAATGCAAACGCTGCTTACTTTTGGGCTGTGGACATTCCTTGCCTGTGCACAATGTGAGCGAACTCGTGTAGGATGACGTTCAGATGGTGATGGTGGGGGTCGTGTGGTCCACAGACAACGTTTTCGTCCAACACCGCCGCCCTCAACCCACCGGCTCCGCCAATATCCTCCCACTTACGGCCGTCAGATGTGCAGGTCTTTGCACAACTTCCTGGGGATTACCACAACGACGATATACGAAACAGGTTCAATTTTCGATGAGGATTTGGTATTCCAGCACAAATTTGGAAAAGTAGAATCATCATTGTACGCCATTTGCAGCATTAACAAATGCAAGTACTACGACAATAACCACAGCAAGAAGACATGAATAGTTACAACAATTAAAACAGCAGAAAGGCAACAAAACAAATGATAGCAATAGCAAAAACAACGTTCAAAGCAAGAATAACAAAACAAGAACAGAAATTCAAAAACTTCAGAAACATTTAACAAAATCAATGATAGTGTCAGCTACTGCTGCAACAACTACAGTAGCAAGGGCACAGGCTCTGATGAATACACAGCCTCAGCAACAACAATCCATTATTTTTCATGCCAGTGTTATACGCCCCCATCGACACAACTTAAAGGGGCAGGCTTCTGACCCTGCCTCTCAGGGCCAACCCAGGCTAAGAGAGATACAACATCCAAGTGTAGGCCCTACCAGTACAGCTGGTCCCACAGTTTCCATTCTTGTACATGGCAAACTCCGGGAACACGGTGATCTTTTCCTGTTTTGTAAAGACGCCAACACTTGCACGGACTGAGATGCGCTGGAAGATGTCCGAAGGCATCAGCTTGACCATTTTGGACACGTACGTGGCAGCTGTGCGCACTGCTGTCATCTGGAAGAAGATTTACGGCAAAACAAATGACAGAAATATTATAACCGAACAAAAAAAGCTTACAGATTCATGCAAAAACACTACTATTACCCAAATGCGTTGATTGTGTAAGGGATATGCACTTTGCCACATCGGAAAATTACATAATTTGTCAAGTATCTCAGTCTTCTTCTGGAATATCGCATGACCTGTCAGACAATTTAAAAGCAGACAGTCCGCATTCAAAATATTCTATAATACTGTGACAATGCAGATGTTAAATAGATCGGTCTATTACTAAACTACATAACTTTCTATGAATTGAGCCTGCAGACAATGACAAGCTTCGACAGGAAAAAATAAAGACCATAGCGTCAATGTTGTTAAACATATTCAAAAACTAAGAGACGTACGTGAACCAAAGGGCTGCCCGCTACTTCAATGGTGTGGCCTGGGGAACCAGGTCTTGACACAAGGGATCCATTGTTGGTCACGTAGACATATTTGAAATGTGGCAAGAGAGTGGAGGAGCGACTGTTGTGTTGTTCGTGTAGGTTCTTGTAGTCTTCTTTAGACAGGGGGCGAGTGTGGAAGGGGGGCGTTACTTCGTCAGCGTGCGGAGTGAACGCCAACACGACATCTAGTGCGTCAGATGAGAGGGGGAGGATAACATGTGGCGAAATTGCTTTGCTTAGAACAGATAGATGGTAAACAGCTCAGCGTTTTTTGCCCCTACACAGCCGAAAGAAAAAGGGCAAGGAAAGAGAGGCGAATGGTTACTGAGAAAAGGGAGACAAGACATCGGTCTAGAGAAGCTCCAAAAATAAAGTGACATTTCGACTCTTCGAGGTCAGTCGTATTGGGCTTTTTGTTGATAAAGTAACAAGTCTGAAAGAGGTACCAATCAACAATTAAACCAGAGAGTTGGCTATTAACTACTAGATCTATTTGACATTTCATATTGCTTAGGTGAATTGTCAGAAGTTTTATCAAGGGGCACACACTTAATCTAAATAGAACGTTAAAGATAGCAGCAGAGTATTTTTAATACGGTCACAATCGTCAACTTAAGCCTAGCGCACTCTAGGAAATTTTCCATTCTTCTTGGTACTGAAAATGATGCAATTTTCACCAGCAAATCTCTTCACCGCCAAGTGACGTCATACATGCAGCCGTGCGTCCAAATATGCAAAAAATGGTGAAATGATATAGGTTTAACGCCCCTATCAACACTATTAGATTATTTGAGAATCGGGTCCAAGTATGCGCAGGACTTTAATCAAACTTAGCTGCCTTAACATTAGTTATTGATAAAGTACATTTCCTGCAGTAACGTCTCAGTAAACGCTAGGTGTTGAGGCGCTGATGGTCTGCGAACTTAACATAGCGTGGGACTTATGGTTTCACGTAGTCCAACGAGACGTGTTCAATTTTTGCCATTCGTGAACAAATTGCTCGCACAGATCTTCTGCTGTGATGACGACTACGTTCAAAGCCGTTGAGCGCTATGACAATGGATTTTTTGAAAGAAATTGTCCTTCCTTTTTACCTGTAATCAAAGACGTGTGTATCGTTAAACAAAAGCGACCTCGCCTACTTCTTTCGCTGCTCTCATAATACTAGTGTTTAGAATACATGTGTTTTACTCCAGACCTGCGGGCTATATCCGGCCCGCGAGAGAAGTTTTACGGAAATGTTTTTAATGTTCATGTGATATGTATTAAGTCGCTACCTCAGAATTACAAAGTTCCGTCTGACATTTTTTGGTGTTTTGAGTTACTGAGACCATGAGGTCAGAAGCAAAATGTTCTATCTGCTCTATCAAAATCTCAGGATTATTCGGAGTCGTTATCACGATATTCAAAGAATTGCATTCGAAAAGATTTGAAGTGATGAGAAACTCAAAATCTTTGTCGTCAAATTCTCAAAAACTAGGTCCTGAGCAGATTTAACTTTGTACTTCTCAGGCTCTCTGGAATTTCTGGTTTTTCTGAATCTGCTTCTCGTGAACATACCCTTTGCCACCTTCGTCACTTCGTGGCGAAACTAAAACTAGGAACAAGTTGAAAACCCTGGATGTAGAGCAGAAGCTACAGAAGATACAAAAATTGAAAAATAGTTTAACATCACCGCAAAAGTTTTTTCACCAAAGCAAAATCACCATGTGAAGCGTGTGTGAACGTAAAATTTGAACTGTACCGTCATTTTACAATAGGCTATTCCTTACCCATAGGTCCGCCTATAAATAAAGAAATCCTAAATTATGAAAATTGTTGTAAATATAAGATTAAATAGTATCGCTTGAATAGGTTACGTTTAATTTATTTTTAAGCACCAAGAAACACGATAAAAATGTGTAATTCATGTGGGAAAATACATTTTACGCCTATCGGTAGCTCACCGAAGCAAATAGTCAATACTCCTATAACACCCCAGACATCCATTATGAAGATTGCTCCTCTAGGTACAGATTGTGTGATGGCAAGTACTGATTTGAATCGTGCACCTGGAATATTACAGTCTTATAATAGCTATTAACAAAACACCTATTTACACGTTTAACGTCATCTTGGCATGATTTTTTTCTTCTTTAGATTTGACCGTTATGTTTTATGAGATACACAGCACATGGTCGGGGTCACTCGGTTTTACTTACAAAGTGTCTCGAACAATGTAAGAAATTATGGAGGTTGAAGTATGGGATTTTAACGGCTGTTGCACCTTAGAACCAACCGCCTGTATGCCGTAAGTCAAGTGGAGCATCTGTCTTGCTGTGAATTAATTGAACTCAAGATAATATAGGTACATTAATCTGAATCTACTCCACCCTAAACATAACCTTGGCCCAATGCAAGACAGTATCCATCACCAAAAAATGGGTCAATGTCTTTGGAAAAATATCCTTAACTAATAACGCACAGGGAACCCAATGATGCCAATGAAAAGTTTCTTCGCTTGTAAAATAGGAGTTATTTCTGAATTTACATAATCATTTTCTTCAGCTCTTTGCATAAAAGCTACGGTCATCTCTTGAAATGGTATCAAACCGGAAATAATAACTACTAGCAGATCCCCCTTTCAATGAAAGAAATGATTGGTGCTTTAATATCAACTAAAAGTCTTTGGCCAACTATATTTACACTCTACTGGAAAGGGGAAATAAATCTTGAGAGATGCAAAAAATGAGAAGGTCTAGATCTATACTCTCAAAACAAAATGCGCCTCGCAAAATATCACTTCCGGATTTTCTAAAATTACAGAGACAGAAGTGTGGGCCTACAAAAAAGCGATCGGCGCAATAAAGAAATTTAGCTTTTTGCAGCAAAACTGTATCAAAACTGAAAAAAACAAGGGCACCATGAACTGTAGAATATTTTCAAGAATTTTTTGGCGAAAACTGCATGTCGATCGATGCAGCCATAACAAAGCCTTTTGAATAGTAAAATTCGGCCACCACAATAAATAGATAACAGATAATCACAGATGACCTGCATTTCGAAGAATTTTTACCAGTATCTCATAAAGAGGAACGAACCGTCTTATAATTTTATTAATCATTCAATCTTTGGTATAGGTTTTCATGAATATGGCATAGTTGTGGGTAAAGACTCGTCTAGCAAATCATGAAAAATCAAATTTAACCCTGTAAAGCACTGTGTCCGGTCGTACTCAACAAGATGGTCCAGTCTCTGAGAGGCAAAGAGTCTACATAATAAGAGGGGCCACTTCTCTCTTTGAGCCAAATTAAAAAAGTGTCCTCAAAATTCGGTGGCGCCCTCTTCACAAAAGCGCACTCTTTGCGAACAGAGTTACCCTACTTGAGTTTAAAAAATCAAAGTGAAATTAGCAAGTTTTTGAATAACGCTTTTTAAAAATGGTTACGCTGACAAAAAAAACCTCTTCCAGAGGAAAGGGTGATTGTTTTCTTCGTTTAGTTTGACTTTAGAATGAAAGGCGAGAGGTCATTAAAATTTTTAAAAACCTAAAACTCCACACTGAACGAACCCGAACTGCTGATGAACAGCAGTCGATCTGCGCACGCAAGGGGGTGCTATTCCTATTCTTCTTCTGGTAAAACGAAAGAGAGCTTCAAAACAGACTGCAGCGCCATCTGAAGCAAAGAGCGCACTTCCTGCGGACACTTTTTTGGCTGAATGGCCCATCTTGTTATGTACTATCTTTGTGAGAGGTGTCCACAAAAATTCTCGTGCAATGTCATAGCTATAGCCGCCGGTGCTAAAGAAAACGTTTCATATTTCTTCTTCAAAATAGATCTACGTGTTTGGGTTTACTTAGAACAGCCACTGCTCTTTCTCTACATTTTAGCAGTTTTCTCCCCCGGGTTGGGCCCCTCCGTAAAAAACGTTTCCAAGCCGAAATCTCATCTTGGTGTTTTGGTTGTTTTTTTTTTTCAAGGGGGGGGGGGGGGGGGTTTGTTCCCAGTTGAACCAGTCCCGTTTTTTTTTTTTTATTTTTATCGCGGGGTTTGGGGGGGGGGGGGTCGTTTGTTGTTGTTGTTGTTTTTTTTGTTTTGTTTTTGTTGGGGGGGTTTCGGGGGGGGGGGGTCGTTTAGTTGTTTGTTTGTTGTTGGGTTGTTGTTTGTTTGTTGTAATTTTTTTTTTGGGGGGGGTGTTTTGATTTTGGGTTTGTTTGGGGTTTTGTTTTGTTGTTTATTTGTTGTTGTTGGGTTTTTTGGGGTGGTAAATATAAATATGAAGTGGCATAAAAAGTGAAGCAAGTTGTTGACGGGATAATTTTCTGGTGATAGTCGCGCACTTCGGTTTGAAAAAAATATACGGCCAAATATTTCTGCTGGGCCCGCTAATTCATCAGTGTTTTTATTGCATTGTACCCGTAAGCACTGTGGTGTTTAATCAGCATATATTGCTCCAACAGCTAAAATCACAAGATGTAAAGATAGTTAGGGGGGGACTTTAATGCCAAAGTAGGAAGTACACGTATAGAAGATATTAGTTGGGCCATGGAGACTGGGTAAAGAAAATGAACGCGGGGAACGACTGATAGAATGATGCAGAGAAAATAATTTTATGATATCAAACACCCGGTATGAAAATCACCCAAGAAGACGATACACTTGGAAGAGTTCTGGCGATAGAAGTAGAAATCAAATAGACTTCCTACTTATTCAGAAACGTTTTAGAACTGCAATTAAATCATCTAAATCACTGTCATGAGCAGACGGTGGTAGTATCCATGTACCAGGCATGTGTAAAATGCAGATGAGACTGAAGAAACTTAAAAAGTCAAAGTACCAACCAAAATTTGACATAGATTTTTCAAAGACAAATCAAGAACTGAAAGAACGTTTCACCATAGATGTAAGCAATAAATTTCAAGCTTTGAAAAACATTACTAAATCGGAAGAACTATGGAGAAGAATTAAAAAGTCAATAATGGAAGCTGTGGAAGAAAATATCCACCCAAAAGCTAAACGAACAACAACAAAATGGATGACCCAGGACATATTAAAACTAATGGAAGAGAGAAGAAAAGCACAATCAAATGAGGAAAAATACAACATCTTAAACAATGAAATAAAGAAAAAAAATGCAATGAAGCAAAAGAAACATGGATAAATGATCAGTGTCAACAAATAGAAAAGAAACAAAACAAAGACAGCAAATACATTCATTTCAAAATCAAAGAAGTAAGTGGGATAAAAGGATGCTCAAATACAAGATGGTCAGAATACATAGAAGAACTTTTCAAAGATAAAAGAGGAGAAAAACCGGTAATAAAGAATGAAATAAATGGACCCACAATACTGAAAGCAGAAGTACAAGCTGTCATTAGGAAAATAAAACAAGGAAAAACCACAGGGCCAGATAATATTCCAGTTGAAGTGATTGTCGCGCTTGAAGAACTAGGTACTGAAACAACAACAAAGTTCCTAAATGCTATTTATGACAGTGGTGAAGATATGATGAAGTCAGCTTTTATAGCTTTGCCTAAAACACCAGATATTACTGAGTGTGATATGCATAGAACAATTAGCCTTATGGGTCATTTTACAAAAATATTGCTGAGAGTAATAATGCGAAGATTGAGAAAAAGTGTAAGACCAAAGATATCTAAAACGCAATTTGACTTTGTTTCTGACAAAGGCACCAGAAATGCTGTATTCACCTTAACATTGTTAATGGAAAGATGTACTGCAGCACAGAAAGATCTGTATTTATGCTTCATAGATTATTCAAAGGCGTTCGATAAAGTTAGACATGATGAGCTATTTCAAATACTGGAAAAGCTGGATATAGATGGGAAAGATCTAAGAATTATCAGGAATTTGTACTGGGACCAAAACGCTGTTGTACGAATTAATGAAGAATACAGTGAATATAAGCAGATTAGAAGAGGAGTGAGGCAAGGATGTGTTACGTCACCAGACCTTTTTGGGCGGGAGGTCCCCAATGTTACTTTACTGTAAATTGTGAAAATGTTGTTCTATTGAGACATTCCACGATTAATGAGATTTGAATTTGAGTAAAGAGAATCACATCGACACAATAGCAGTCATAATAGTGCAGGGAAGACGCAAAACAGATAGACAGAAACAACAGAGGAAAATAAAAAGAACTACTATGACCTTCCAGTCGCACCTTCCAAGCCCCCACTGAGTAATATTAAACAAGGTGAGCTAATATAAAAAAAAGTAGACAGTGCGCTCACTCTCGCAAACATGGCGACGAGACAAGCTTACTCGAACAAAAGTGTTGAGAACATAAGGAGTTCACAGTAATGTATAAAGGATACTCAGATGTCACCCACACTTTGGACCATTGTAAGATCGCTGACTGAAAGCAGACCACCTGTGGGGATTTTTTTTTCTTTGGTAAGTATTTTACTGCGCTCGCAACTGCATGAGGTCATATGAGCGCGCGGGGCACATTAAACAATAATTCAGTTGATAGGAAATTTTGAATTTTACCTGGGTGGCGGCCGAAGCCATTCTTATCGATTTTAGACCACCAAGGGATCTTTAAAGTGCGTAACTTTCTCACGGGACCTCCGAGATTTTTCGCCTTCGTCCAAGAAGGCTGGGTGTAGATCTTTCTTACCAGAAGATCAGGAGTGTGGCTGGAAGACAGCAGTAAGAAGAAGCTAAGGAGTAACAGTAGAAAGGCTGCAGAAAGAGTCAGAAGCCCTGAGGA